TTATGACATAATAGCAATAGTAATGCAACAATAATCATAGTCAAAAGAAGGATGCAGTGGAGGGCAAATTGAATATCTTGGCTCCGAAGAGAGAAGCTCCCTGCATGGGAGTGTCTTTGATTAAAAATCCCCATTACGTCCACAAGTATAATTTTATACTTTTTCATGACAGAGAGGAAAAACAACAGCCCAGCACAGGTCAGACAAAGTTGGTGCATGAAACCACCAGCAATTATAGGGACAAGTTAGGCAATGCAACCTTCCTCTTGGACCCTGCTAAGTGTCTATGCAGGTCACAAAAATTTCCTGTACCTCCTAAAAGAAGGTGTACATAAAACTTGGCATTCCTGTGCCTGCAACTATTTGGAACACAAGTCCCAAGAAGAGAGGCTGCAGGCAGCCCCTCCCTGCAAAGGGTGTCATCGGCTGGTGTGAGAGGCTGCGGAGCTGCCGTGCTGGGGAACAAGTGGGATCCTGGCAGCTGGTTTGACCCCGAGGGATTAGAGACTGCCCCACCTTCCCAGCTCACATGGTGGCACATGCTGCAGCCCAAGAAGCCCCTTTTTTATTCCTGCCTGCCCTGTTCTCAGTCAAGCGCTTATTGCTGCAGCAGGAGGCTTGGGCAGGGACCCCTCTGCACACATAATGCAAGAGCCATGAGATGCTGAGGTGCTCACTGTCCCCTCTGTCCCCTTGCCAAAGCCACTGTTTTCCAGAGCTTCTCCTGCACCTGCCATCTTAGGGAATCACCAGATCCTTCTGGGGGAAAACCTCCTTTTTTTAGGAATCGGGAACTCCAATATCCTCACTTCCTTCATTTATGAGTGTTGTTTTTCCAGACCCCTTTCTGCATCACGCGTCTTCCTTTGGCTGAAGCACTGATTCCCGTCTTTGGGGTCCATCAGCGCATTCACGAGGACCAGGCTGGAAGGGATGCACTGCATGATGGTGTCAGGGATGGTGACATGAGCTGCTGGCAAACAGCACTCTCCAGCAGTTCCCTGCTTGTTTGCCAGCATGCTGCACACTGGTTTCACCTGCTCATTCCCAATCAGAGCTGGAGTGCTCACATCAAGGCTGACTACCCATTTCTACTATTAGCGGCCTTCTTAATCATTCATAACTCTTTTGGCTGGGGAGTGTGAAGTTCTTGAGATCTGCTCTCTATCCATAGAAGCAATGGTTGCTTTGACTGTGCTGTGTTTGAACAGAAATGGCCCAGGGATTTATGACTTTAAGTGCCCAAGCCACAGAATCCTTATCCCATTATAAACCAAAACTCTATGTTCATGGAAATTAAAGAAAAAACCCCAAAACAACAGACAAGCAGGCAGTAGAATTTTGTTAGGACTAAAATGATGAAGCAACTTTCAATGATCCATTGAAAATCCATTACAACAAGGGCTGAGTTGTTACAGTTAAAGAGATGGTGCTGAGAGAGGCAGTGTTACTGCTGCTGGGGTGCTGCTGCTGCTGCCTGGAAACCTGCTTGCTGAAGGGACTGCATGGTGAGCAAGTGTGCAAGGCACCTTACAGTAGAATGCTGCCCCACGGGGAAGCCAGGGGCTTGGCTGGGACTGCACATGGCCACCTCTTACGGGAGCACACCTGGAGCCTGGCTGCAGAGCTACGTTTGGAGAGGAAGAGGAGGGGTACAGGGGCAGGGGCAGAGCTGATCAGAAGAGTCCAGCGGCTAGTTCAAGCTGGAAAAAGATATCCATTCCTATCTCTGACACTGTTTGAACTTGACTGGCCACTCAGCTGTATCAGACTATGCTGTCCTGCAGGTAGTGCCCCAGCTGGGAAAATGCTCTTCTCTTCCTTGGCACTGTTATAACAAACACCAAAAAAGGCTGGGTAAGCAGTGAAGCTGTGCCATTCTCTGAGTTTGAAAAAGCAAAAGCTATAACTATTTCATTAATTATTTTGGCCAATGAGTTGGAAACAACAGCAGGGAATTCACAATCACTCGCCTGTCATTCTGTCTGTACACAATACTGTTTGCAAGGATCATGGCCACCATCTCATTTACTTTGTGCAATGCCGTAACATTGAGGCTGCCCATGTTTTGCTTTGGTCATTCCTTATTGCACTGCCTTGGCAAGCAGCAGGAGTAGTTTGAGGGGAAGGCACTGAAGCTCTAAACAGGAATTTCTACAAAAGCCATGAGCTTCTCTGGACTTAACAGCTAAGTGGAGCAAGGTGGAGAGTGAGATCTTCCTGACCAATCCTTCTGTGTAGCTCTACTCCAAAAAATATAAATAAAGGACTCAGGTTAGAAAGTACTTACAGCATGCATAAGTGTTTAAACATTCTCCTGCATGTGTTCATTACAACACAATCTGCAGTCACAGATCTCTAGTGTTGCAGTCTCTTCCTGGCCACGCATGAAACCAACTTCAGTAACATCTGGGTAACCACTGAAAACAGCAGCCCCTCCCCAAGGCCAAGGGTTTTGGGCTAACCTCGAGCAGGCTGCCTTTCCATGGGGCCCAGGCTGCCTGCTTGCCCTAGGCCCCATGGAAAGGTACACAGCAGCCTGTCAACATCAGGATTTAAGAAACGCATGAAGGAAAGTTACAATCAGTTCCTGCTTGCCCTGGGCCCCATGGAAAGGTACACAGCAGCCTGTCAACATCAGGATTTAAGAAAAGCATGAAGGAAAGTCACAAATTTCAGAGCTGTTCAGTGTCACACCTGGCGAAAGCCTCATCCCGCATGAAGGAAAGTTACAAATTTCAGAGCTGTTTTCAGTGTCACACCTGGCGAAAGCCTCATCCTGGCACTGAGAGTGTGCACACACGAACACGTGCAAGTCTGCTTTACAAGGTGCAAGCATGTAACTGGGCAGGCATCCCAGGGTCTAGGAGCAGCTGTGCCCAAGCCAGGAGCTTTGAGGGTGACCAAGACAAGAGGCTGGGTGTGGAGATGCTCCGTCACAGCTCCATGCTGCCAGGAAAGAGAGACAGCTACCAGGCAGAGCAAGCCACATCTGTCCCTGCTTGTCTGTGTAGACACACACTGAATAACCGCGGCTGCTTCCCAGAGTGAGTTTCTAGGCTTCATTATATTTTTACTTGTCTTGCAAGGGACAGAGCAAGCACTCTGATAAATGAAGAGAAAGGGCTGCTTGCTTTGCAGGAGATTTATGTGACAGTCTCTCTCGCTCTCTCAGCCCAAGAAATCCTGTGCTGTTCCTCACAGTTGTCATCCCTAGACAGCTGCAGACAGGGTGCACTGCACTTGGGGAGCCAGCAGATGATCACACTGTCATTGCCCCTGCACTCCAACCAGCAGCGTTCACCTGCTGGGTCTGGGTGCTACTGAAAGGCACACTGTGCTGGTTTGTTCCCAGTGTTGCTCCAGTGACCTGAGCTAGCCTTCACAACCCAGGTGGCTTCAGGAGACCCTTGTATGTATTCAGGAGACCCTTTGCATCACTGTCAATGCCTGTGAGCATGGATGCTGCACAATCCCTGCGTATGTCAGTCCCTCACCCACTGAGGATGCTGAAAAAGCTGCGAGTGTTGGTAGGTTCACGATGCTGGATGGGGACACACTGCTAAGGAGGCAGAGGGCACAGATGGCCCTGGGCCAGGGGCTGTGCACAGGAAGGCAGCAGTGGGTCCAGGGTGTGCTGCCCAGCGTGCAGAGACTGTGGTGGGCAGCAAGCAGGGACCATATGGAAGGTGCTGCCAAACGAGGCCGTTGAAGCAAAGGCTGCAAATGAGTTTAGCAGACAGATATTTTGAGGAGGGGGAGGCAGAGGGAGTGGAGGAGAGCAGGAGAAAGGGAGAGCTCAACACCACAACCAAGAGGGGCCTGCCAGGGCCACACAGGCCTGGTGGACATTGCTCCATCTTCCCTCACCACACACCTTTTCCCAGTGCCTTAAGATCCCTCAAAGGAAAGAGGGGACCATCCAGTGCCTTAACTTTAAGATCCCTCAAAGGAAAGAGGGGACCAAGGTGTTGTGGCCCCTTCTTTGTTTTTAATTACTTCTCATTTTAATCTTGATTTGCATGTAGATCTCTCAGAACTGGGCCAGGGACTCTACAAAGCCCTCGTCAGCAACTCCCCCAATAATAAACAGGAAAAGGCTTAAGGGGCAAATCACTTGCATGTTAATGAGACTGTTTGCTGGAGTCAAGAGAGAAAACAGCAAACAAACAAATGGACTGAATTCCAGCGGCAGCTGTTTGCTCCTTAATCTCGGCTTGTCAGAGCTGCCCTTTGATGGGACACAATCTACACAAACGATTGTGCTAAATCTTCTAATCTACGTCCTCATTATTACATCCCTTCTTACGCATGTAAATCAGGGACAAACTCATTTTAATATTTAGATAGATTATGGAAGGGAAGGGGAGGGGATTGGAGGGGAAAGGAGCTGCTGGTGGTGTCTGCTCCTGCCGGTTAGGAGGGGTGTTAATAAGGAGCACAGGGAGGGGAACTGTCTGCATAGAGCCCAGGGCAGCAGCAGCAGCAGGAGGAGCACCTGTTGTCAAGGCAAAATGGGGAGCATAAAGGGGCAAGGTCACCAAAACTGGGATTCTGGAGAAGACATGGGCATGGGGCAAAGTTGGCAAGGTGATGTGACAGGGCGCTGAGCAGGACCTCACCCTGGCATTCCCCAAGCCCTTACCCATGCACTCAGCCCCTGCTTTGTCGAGGTGGGATGCTGGAGGAAGGTTTGGTGTTGTACCTGGGGGCTTAGTGGTGGCATAGTGAGAGGTGACAGGGCCCACTGTGGGGGCACACCAGCGCTGTGGCATTATCCCTGGGTACCTTGCAGTGCAGGGCCTCCTTGCAGCACAGCACTGTTGTCTCTCACCCCTCCTCAAGCTGCCCTCACTGTTAGTGAGCTGAGCATCAGATCAACCACCAGGCTGGAGAAGCAGGCTAACACCTCACTGTAGAATTCAAGGATGCAGCCTCGCTGCCTCCACATAAATATCATCAGAGCTGTGGTTATGTTATTTAATAATGCTCAAAATAATTGCCGTTACAACAAGTACAACTGTGGGGAAAAGAGCTCTCCTGCATTTCCTTGCCTCTGGCATCTCCTAATCAATTGTCAACCTACAACCTGCCCCTTAACCTTCTTCTTCAACTGCAGCAAACTCATGATACACCAGCCTTATTTCTCTGAGCCCCTCATCTTCCTCTGCTCCAGGAGGGGCTGTCATATCCTAAAATAGGAAAAAAAATTAAAACAATCTGGTTAGTTCACAAATTTGCCATTGACCTCACACCTGTGAAGGAAGGTGCAGAAGATAAGCAATAGCTTGGTGTACAAAAGGTGAGTACAGAAGAACAGCAGAGGCAAGCTGAAATATAATCAAAAAGGCCAAGCATAAAATAAGTTTGTAAGTAGCAGGATAATCAAAGGGAACAAGAAATCATTCTGCAAATTCATTAGTAGCTCTGTAAATTCATTAGTAGCAAGAGGAAGACTAAGCAAAATATTGGATCTCTGCTCAACAGGGAGTGAAAATTATTGACAGAGGATAATATTAGAGAAACTAATAACAGTGATAAAGCAGTAAAATCTTGGCATAGAATAAGAAAAGTGTATGGGAGAGGTAGTGTTATTGAGTTAGGTGCATTCAGATTTATTTGGCATAACGAGTTTCCTTGAAGGTGCTTACAAATTTGGCTACAGCAGTCTCAGAGTCAGTAGTGGCTGTCTTCCAGAACCTGTTGAGATGTAGTGGAGTACAGGAAAATCACAGGCATTGCTCCTACAGAAGTGAAGGAAAGGGTGATGGGTAATTATACACCAATCAGCTTAATTCCCTTTCTCATTAAAATTCTGAAAAAATTACCTAGTTATCTCTAAATATCAAAGGCTAAAATGAGGCAATTGTTTTCAGTGTGAATTTGTCAAGGATCAGTCCCTTTCAGTCACTCTAATTTCTTGCCTGTAGCAAGGCAACAGGTCTTATGGATAAAGAACGAACAGAAGAGGTTGAGTATTTTTACTTCTATAGACTGTTTAGGCTCCATTTCAAAAGCTATCCTTGTGAGTAAACTAGGGAAATATAAATTAGCAGTAACTAACGTTAGATAGATGAAAAATTAGTGGAAAAACTGTGCTCAGCAAATAGTCCTCAATGGTTTACTATCAAAATAAAGGCTGTAGTGAGAATAGCTTCATGAAGATCTGTTCTGAATCTGGTTCTGCTCGCTGGATGAATTAACAACATGGATAACAAAAGAGGGAGTGGCCACATCAGGAAGACACAGACCTGGAAGGCACTTTAAGTACACTGAAGGACAGACTTAGCATTCAAAATCATCTTAGCAATTTCAGAAAGTAGTTGAAAAAACGTAGATGCAAATCAGTAAGAAACCATGCAAAGAATCTCAGTGATGCAGAAAGAATGAAATGCATAAACGGGGTTGGAAAACAACTTGCTATGCAGCAATTCTTCCAAAAAAGCAGTAGGGGTTAGAAGGGATTACAAGCACTGTCACAAACAGTACAGTGTTGCAAATAAATCAAACCTCCTACTGTAAAGAATGGATAAGACTACAACTGTCAAGACCACTGGAGATTTCCTTATATTCAGAATTGGTGAGAGTTTTGTTGGTGTATTGAGCCCAGTTTTGGAATTGCCTTTCTAAATGGACTGATTGGAGAGTGCCTAATGGAGGGCAATAAGAATAATCACAGATCTGACACACGTCCTGCAAAGAAAAACCTGAAAGAAGTGTTGCTGTGTAACTTGAAGAGGGAAGACAGAGAGAGGGTAAAAGAAAATCCCCATGAAAGCAGTATAGGAAGAAGGAAAAAAGCTGCCCTCTGTGCCCATGGCACAGGAAATTGTAGCAGGATAGGTCTGTGTTAGACACTAGGAGCAAAACAGACTGCAAGGGAGACACTGGAAGAAATTACTTAGATGCTTGTCCCTCTGTCAGGAATGAGATGGGTATAACTGGTCATGGCACAGGGTAGAAGGGACAAAGAGACAGCTTCTCTGGGTTCCCACTAGTCCTAGTTTTCTAGCAATCCATCTCCTGATTTGACATCCACCATCTAACCCTCAGCAGTGTTTGAGATGCAAGCACACAGAGAGCGATGAGGCATAAGGAAGTGACACAGGTTCACTGAACACATCACTCTCTCTTCACCCACACCCCACTGTATCCTTACTAACCAGGAATGATGACAGGATGGAGACCTGAAAAATGATGGAAACCCGAGAGCTGACCGAACTCTGGAGATGGACAAAGAACTGGCCCTTACCATCTTCTGGGGTGTGGCTAAAGGAAAAGGGCAGGGTGTACCACCCAGATCACTGCCGTGTGAGCCCATGATTGATTGAGCATTGCTGTGAGAGTCAGAAGAGTGGTGTGAGCATCTGCTTCCCTGTCACCACCAGATAACCAACGTGACTGCTGGTCCCACTCCTCTCTGCTAGGAAAACTATATCAAGTGGTGCCTTGAAGACTTAAAATAAACTGTCTATATACCTTAATAGAAATATCTATTTCTGCAGCATTTCCTTTGGGAAATCTAGCAAGGTTGTAAATGTATGAGGTTGGCATGAGTATCCACCACAAGTAATGGAATTTCAAGTAAAGACTGGAAAATTTTCCTTTACCCTTTCTCTCTATTCCCAGCTATTTTCAATCTGTATCACTGTCGTTCATCACCTTCTTTCCTTGGACCCATGGAATAGAAATAAAGGACCATTTAGGTTGGAAAAGACCTTTAATATCATTTAATCCAACCATTTACCCAGCACTGAACCATGCCCCTAAAACCCACATCTACATGTCTTAAAAATATTTCCAGGGGTATACTCAACCACTTCCCTGGGCATCCTGTTCCAGTGCTTGGCAACCCTTTCTGCGAAGAAATTGTTTCTAATATTCAGTCTAAACCTCCCCTGGCACAACTTGGGACCATTTCCCTTTGTCCTATTCCTTGTTACTTGGTAGAAGAGACTGAACATCACCTGGCTACAACCTCCTTTCAGGTAGCTGTAGAGAAATAAGTTTCCTCCTGAGCCCCTTTTGCCCCGGGCTAAACAACCCCAGTTCCCTCAGGCACTCCTCACTGGACTTGTGCTCCAGACCCTTCACCAGCTCTGTTGCCCTTCTCTGGATATGCCCCAGCACCTCAATGTCCTTCTTGAAGTGAGGAGCCCAGAACTGAATACAAGATCCAAGGTGAGACCTCACCAGTGCCAAAACAGGGGACAATCACTGCCCTGGTCCTGCTGGACACGCTGTTTCTGACGCAAGCCAGGATGTTTGTATCATACACTTGTATCACACTTGGTGCTCCACACACCCTTGTCTGTCTGAGGAGCACAAACCTTTTCATTTGAGATGAGGGACAGACCATGAGAGGATAATGGTCCCTTAGCCAGATGGGCCTTGGACTTATATCCACTATATCTGGGATTAAAGGTGGACACATTCTCAGGATCCATCTTTGAGTCAATACAGCAGCTCACTGTTGTATTCTAGATGTTGTGCTGATTCTCAGGTTGCATTGTCTGCCAAGGCAGGATATTAGCTCTGGTCTTCAAAGCTCTCTCAGAGTCAATTATGTCTGAGTCTGCATTTTCATCACAGCCCACCTGCTCATTTGGAAAAACGCAGTGGCCTTAGTCCATGATGAAGCAAGGGAAACTGGAGATGAAATGGAGATAAATGTCAATGAGGTTTGGCTACTGAATAAGATTGAGCACCACAGTGCTCCCTTTCTCATGAAGCTTTTTCACCGCAACAGAAAAGAGGGGTTAATGTCAAAGGAAATACAACACCCCAGACTGGATATGTTTAGGACATATCGCAGTGCTCCCTTTCTCATGAAGCTTTTTCACCGTAACAGAAAAGAGGGGTTAATGTTATAAAATATTATTAAAACAAGCAAGCAAATGCAACAGTCCCTTCTTAACTGACTATATAACCAATTACCAAACTGGTTTAATAGTCCTTAGGAAAACTGGTTTAAAACCATAAGACATATAGCAGCCCCCAATATGCTCAAGGGAAGGCAGCATCAGAAAAGACACAGAGTATGCAGCAGATTGCAGGAAAACACGTCAAAGAGGTTGGGATGGGACATAGTACATTATGTAGGAGTTTCCTGCCTCCACTGGGATTTATATGAGCCAAGCAGGAGGATGCAAGGAGTCAGCAGCATTGCACAGCTCCTGTGTCTTGCAGTGGTGGCTACAACCAGCAAGAGGGCAAATGTGTGAGAGTGAAAACATCTAATTTATTAAATGTTCCCCATCACAGGGCTCCCATAGTCCTACCAGTTACTCTGGGGAAATGGCTACACTTTAACATCATCCTTTCCCTCTGAATGCTCACCTTTATCCTGTGCATAGGTGACCTGTGATCTGCCTTCCACTTAGTGACCAGTACTCCTCTTCCTGCTGCTAGCCCAAATCTTAATCCTTCTCATCAGATTCTGCACCTTTCAGGTACAGAAAGCTGAGGGATTCCTATTCCTCTCTCTTCACTTATCACTTTAGTCAGACACATCTCTGCATGGCTCACACACCAAAACCACAAGTTCCCAGGCATTTTCTTTCCTCTTTTCTACACTCTGTTCCATTTATCAGTATTACCTTAAAAAAAAACAAAATTGCAAAACTGCACAGAAAATTTGAGTTTTAATATTGGAGAAATACAACATTAATAGACTGCTCCATAATGTCATGTTTGTGAATGTGGAGTTGTCTCAATCCTTTTTAGAGCTTTGTCATATTGCAAATGTACACTGTGAGAATATCAAACTATTATACCCAGCTGTTTTCACTGTCCTACTGTCTGTCTCTGAGGCACATTTTTTGGGTCTGCAACTTTTCCCTTTAAACAGGTTGCTGAATTGACTCCCACCTATGTGCTCCAGGCTGCAGCACTCTGGTTTTCTTCTGCTCATGGGCATAAATTCTTCCAACTCAGTATCCTGCAAATGGCATTAATACACACCTCGGTCACCTTTCTTTGTTGGTTATAAAGACTTGAAGAAGGGCTGATTTAAACCCTCCTTGATGAGAACTTTTGTCCCAATCTTATGGTTGCAGTCAGTCATATGGCTGCATTCTCATTATCACTGATAACTCCTATCTGAAAAATTCACAATAATTCTTCCAGTGGCAATTTCACATTTTGCTAATTAGACCCTCAGGAATTGATCTGAAAAGGCAATTTTTTAATCAACAAAAAAACCCCTGCAGAGCTGAACAAAGCCCAGTGCATCTCTGACACTGGGCAAGAAGGTCACTTGAACCAGTTTAGTTTCATTTGCATTCTGTTCTTAGCAATTTGACCTGAATTTACTTTGACATACAAATCTTGTGAGTAGTCTTCCCACACACTGAATGCATCTTTGGTGTTCCCTTCCTCCAACAGTTCCATAATACTTCAATGTATTCAATATGCACAGCAAAATTCCTCCGGTTATGATAGAGTGATGGAAATTAGATTTTTGCTGTAGCAATTGAGTTTAGCATTCTTTCCTCCTTTGGAAGATAAATTTATCTGTCATACTTCTTTCTTCAGCACCTAGGTCTGTGGCATCCAAATGTTGTAGAAAAGTAATACAACCACAGCCCAGAACAAGAACTTAATTTTGATCTTCACCTGTTGAGGCAGAGGAATATGCAGTTGTGCTGTTCCACTACAGCAAAGGCAGAGCAATACCTCTCCTCCCTCATAGTGGGATCCATCTTGCTTAACTTTAGATGCCCACACCTGAGCTAGTCCTGGG